CTAGTCTCTAGTAGGTTGGAGGCCATCGCTATTTGGTTGGAGGCCATTGCTAGTAAGTTGGAGGCCATCGCTAGCAGGGTGGAGGCCATCGCTATTGGGTTGGAGGCCATTGCTAGTAGGTTGGAGGCCATTGCTAGTAGGTTGGAGGCCATCGCTAGTAGGGTGGAGGCCATCGCTATTTGGTTCCTTCAAGTCTGTTACATTCAGTCGACGCTGTCAGGTACAATCTACGGAGTGAACGTAAAAACGTCTCGGCCACTCGGGCGCAAAGGCGCCAAATGCGAAATCCTCGAGGATTGACCACCAACTGTCCAGCAGCATTGGACTTTAAAAGAAAACCTAATAGTAGTGGCCTCCAACCTAATAGCGATCTGATAAAGAGTGTGTTTTCACTCTCTGAAGGCCTTGCCTTTTCTGGTCGATCTTTGAAAAGCGTCCCTCAACCCGCGAGAAATCTGTCTTGATGCGTTGGACTAATACATAGCCTGTACTTCAAGGACCTGGTTCCCACCTATGTTGGTTCTTAGGGCGTGGGTGAAAACTCCACATGCTGAAACAAGGAGAAAATCTGTGGTGTTGGCTGTACCAAGAACCTTTGGCGGCTCTTAATCTTTCTGACCCACCTAAAGCAAACGCTCTACTTCTAACTGAAAACCGTGACTCCGTGACGTAGAAAAATCCTCCCTACCTGGAGAATTGAGGCAGTCAGTGGCACGCTGCTCCTGAGTCCTACATAGTTGGGGACGTCATTGGTCCCCTTGTCCGACAGCTCCACATCTGGAACTCATCCATTCAGAGCAATGCCTGCAGTGGCTGTCGGAGTGTGGAGGAGAAAGCACAGAGTCTGTTTGATCCGTTGGACGGATAGTTGCAAAGAGAACAATGATTATGATAGGCTACAAAAATCTACAAAGTCAAAAGTTCATTTTACCTAATAGTGCTCTTGTGATCAACGATTTGATACTAAACATCCATGGACCTTGTCATGTAATTAGTGTCCTAAGAGCCACACGAAAACCATGGCGTGATTTATTGCAAATATGAAGACGTGCATTCTTTCTGGAGAAGTTGGTTGTGAGGGACTGAATTACCGTGGAGCTCCCCCTTTCTGGTTGAGGGATCTTCCAAAAGCATGAATTTATTACCTAAGCGAGGCCATTGCTCTCTGGTTGGAGGCCATCGCTAGTAGGTTGGAAACAAAGGCCAAAGGCTCCAATGCCTCTGGCACTGTACACAGGAATGAACCAACAAAATAATGCAAAAGGATCGCAACCCCAGAAGTGATATGCTCACAGGCCTTCTCATCTTCAGATTCGCCCAGCCACCTGCCAGGCAAATTCCTCGCCCGACACTCCCTCAAATGAACATCCAAGTGGTGATACTGATAGGCGGCTCTGGCACTCATGACTTGTTCCCTTTCACCAAGTCTGCCATGATCAAAAACTTGAATTCCCATCGAATCAAGCAACCCCAAATAAAACCCACAATGACCAACCAAGCCCACCGGGTAAATTGCTTGGTGAAATGCTCGAATTGGGTTGCTGAGCTATGACGCGTTATGGCCAAGACTCACCCAACCCATGGGTGAACACGTGTGAAAACGCCGTGGGGCGAGGCGGCGAGGAAAGACAGGGCAGCGAACAGAAATGAACAGAAACTAAATAACATCAGAATGAAGAACAAATCAAGAGCCTTAAAAAGAGCCCCTAGTAGCGTCCTTGCTCCTAGTAGTATGGCCAGGAGCCCCTAGTAGCGTCCTTGCTCCTAGTGAACAACAACAAATATCCAGCTCCATCTTTTGTGCTCCAAATAGCTAGCAGGTGATTTCATTGTATTTCAACACAAAACAAGTCTCCGAGGTTTACTAATCACAGGTAGCAACATCGCCCCACCTTGTCACCAAGATGATAGTAGATGCCACACTAGGTTTATATGGACCCCCATCTAAAAACATCTTGGGGCCCGCGCTTATGCCACCTACCCTGAAATCACTATACTATAACTCTTGCATTAGGACATTAGATGACTTCATGCGCAATTTTGCCCACTGCGCCCCTTTGGGATCTTATCCACTTGATCGCACTGACCACGGGACCACGAGGTACACGGTGATGGATGACTTGCATGTTCCATGCATCTCTCAAACTGGAAAAAGTTCATGCCGATTCATGCCCTTTCCCATCTTTCCCACCCGGCCTTCAGAACTCGCCACTCCTTGAAAAGTATCGTGAGCGATTCATGGCTCAAGTGCGCGAAGTGCCAGCGGTCAGACTGCCGGAGGCCTGCGTAGAAGAGCCGGTGCTCAGAGACGCCTCAGAGGACGAGAGCTGCTTTTAGTCCAAACATCTCAAGAGCTTCGAGCTGTTCTTGGCTCCACTTCTTTGCGTATCCGCTTTCCTTTCAGAGGTGCATTGCTGCATCATGCTGCATCTCTCCGAGGAAAACCCCTGACCCCCTGGCCCCTCTTTCGGAGCGGCCCAAGTCGAAGTCGTAATAAAAGATCCTCGTGAAGCGATTTCGCCATCCCTGGCCCTCTGGCAGCAAGTCTGCGACAGGATCCACCTGAGAGAGTCACCGGTCGGACAAATCACCGGTCATTCGGATGGGCTTTGTGTGGTTCGTGCGGTCCTGTTCTTCACTTGATATGGAAAGCAGTTCAGCACCGCCTCACAAGTGGGATACTTTAATTTTCTTTAATTCATCGAAAATAAATCGATGAAAACTGTTGCTTCAAACGCAAGGAATTGAATAGGAGGTGGCCTACCTGCAGCCTCTGCAGCTTGTTCCTACCCAAGGCCCGGCGCATCGGACGGCCAAGCCACCGGTCGGTGAAGCTCCGCCGTCTCCTTCGAAGCAGATGGGTGTCGAGAAACTCCAGCGCTCCTTGGACCGTATGAGGGCTGCAGGTCTTCGGTATCTCACTGTGAAAAGGTGGTTGGAAATTAGTTGATGGGCGGTCTGGGCGGTCTCTGGAAGGACTCTGGAAGGACCCCCATCTATCATAAAGGCTGTGAAGGCCATAGAGTTCTTTGATCATCTTTAACTGCTTTGCACTGAAGTTCAGGTCTCCTAAATCGACCCACATCTCCAGGACATCGGAGCACTTTAAAGGGATGCCTTAAGCCGGTCTCATCAGGATGATCACCAAAGTGGATCATGAAGTTGGGCGTGATTCCAAAAGACGTCGTGACATGGCCTTAGACACAGCCTTGTGCCAAGTTTCAAGGGGCTACTGAGATCAGATCAAATGTAGCGTTTTGGATGGGCCCAACTTTTGCAAACCCTTCCCATGGATCGGAACTGCGAGGAAAGTGTCAGATTCTTCGGCTCGACTGTTTCCTGACTTGAAGCTCCAGGTCTTTGAGCCTCACCTTAGATGTATGCTTCAAGGAAGAGATGGAATGGAATCAGGTGTTACAGTATCTCTATTGGGTTGGAGGCCATTGCTATTAGGTTGGAAGCCATCGCTATTAGGTTGGAGGTCATCGTTGGAGGTCATCGCTATTATAGGTTGCAGGCCATTGCTATAGTAGGTTGGAGGCTGTGGCTAGTAGGTTGGAGGCCATTGCTATTAGGTTGGATGCAATCACTAGTAGGTTGGAGGCCATCGCTATTAGGTTAGAGGCCTTCGCTAGTCTCTAGTAGGTTGGAGGCCATCGCTATTTGGTTGGAGGCCATCGCTAGTAGGTTGGAGGCCAT